TCTATCTATCTATCTATCTATCTATCTATCTATCTATCTATCTATCTATCTATCTATCTATCTATCTTCTATATCTATCTTATCTATTATCTATCCATCCAAGGCTCAGGGTTGACTCAGCCTTCCATCCTTCCGAGGTGGGTGAAATGAGGACCCGTATTGTTGTTGGGGGGGAATATGCTGACTCTGTAAACCGCCTAGAGAGGGCTAAAAGCCCTATGAAGCGGTATATAAGTCTAACTGCTATTGCTATTGCTACAGCAAATAAAATGAAATGAGAGCCAATGGAACCCTTCTGTGAGTCGGGGGTATGTTCAAAAGGGTCTTCATCACAGGCCACTTCAAAACCTAGCTCCATAAAAGCACATAGAAGTTGGAAGGTCTACATTTGTGAAAAACGAATAAGGCATACAAGATGCTGTGCTGTGACTTAGTCTACACACACCCCTCTCTCCCCCTGAGCAATTTTACCCCCCCCCCTCCACCTGTTTCCTGGCTTTCTACTCGTATTGTGATATCTGGTATTGATTGCCTGTGATTGAAGTGATTAAACTAAAGTAGCACCAGCTCTGTAAAAGTGCTGGCAAGGAAAAGTCTCCCACAAATTTATGAACATAAATAATCAGATCTTTTAACACCCTGTTGATTATAAGTGATTGTCTAATCACACGTGATGGAATAAATAGGTTTTAATAGGGTAGAACTTCCAGAAGAGTTTTGTGCTCTCTTTGATCTGCTGGAGTTCTTCCTTTTTTCTAATGTATTTCTCAAATGAAACTTCCTAAAAGTATTCCCACTAAGGAAAAATACAGTTTGCTTCCTCCCCCTTTCTACAAACATGGGAATACTGACTGGACATTAATTGAAATGCTTTCCTTAAACGCTACCAACATATTGCAATACACAATTTATTGGTGCCTCTGCGGTTCTTTTCAGTACTCAGTTAAACCAATGCATTTAGAAGAAATTGGTGGATTTCTAAATAGGTGTGCGTCCCCTCATGCATTCATATACTTACTTTATAAACATTAAAACCCATGATTAGCGTGCAGCATAGGCTCTGTGCACAGCATAAGATGTAATGTTATAAAATGACAAAACCCACATGCTGATGGGGAGTAACCAACCTGACAGGGATCCTGGATTAGGATCTATGATTTCCAGCCTGAAAGTTATTTAATCGTGGCTTATGCTTACAGGAAATAACAGTGGTGTCATACATGGAACAAATAGGGATATACTTACAACTGAGCTCCGGCGTAACTTTTTATCCCATAATTATTTAGGTTGATTGCTGCAGTAATTCCACAGATAATAAAAGGAACTCCTCCACCAATCAGATAGAACCTGTTTCAAAGACAAATATTTGACAAGTGAATTTGCTTGGCATCAGGCAAAGATTTTTGAAAGTTTGAAAGAAGAGTCTTTGAAAGCAGAACGTAACCCAAGTCATCAGTTTCATTCACCCATTAAAATTGGAAGTAAAACCAACTGAAAATATAGTGTGATGATCTACAAAGTAAAAGTTTCACATGCAGAAATATATGGTTTAAAAATGAAAGCTTTTCAAACAAAAAGGGATTACTGTTGACAGTGAGGTTTTTTTTGTTTAAAAACGGAAGATAAAATAATTTTATTCTGAAAAAGTAGCCAAACCAAAATTTCAAGCAGAATGACCATATCTATTACATGTCATTATCCAAATTTAATATATTAAGAAGCATAACCTTGCAAAAGACCTATTAAACTAAGCCATTGTCCTTTGCAAACTTGGCAGAGCCTTCTCTATTCTCAATCTAGAACCTGAGCTAACGACACAAAAATATATCACACACAGGCTTTGGACAAAAAAAAATTGTTCTGTTTCATGCTGAAAGAAACTAGATGTTCTATCTTAAATTGATTATGTAATTAATGTGCTAGACCCCAAGATGAACAAACCTGAACCCGTGAGCCTCCAATCATGGAAGCGGTATATAAGTCTAACTGCTATTGTTATTGCTATTATGCCTCACAGTCACTTTAAACTGAATCACAGCATCAAAGGGCGCTGTGAATCTCATCCATTTTCTTAGTTCTATGCAATTATCTACTGATACAGGTAAATAAGAAAGAAAAAACACCAAATTCTTAACTAAGAAAATCTACTTTTAAAAATTTAAACTTTTACAGTACACTCCACCCTCTTTATCACACAATGATTAACAGCAGAAGATGGCACTGCATTGCTTTAACAAGGACTAGATAATGACCTGTCAGTCACAGCCCATCTAATCCCAGTTAGGAGAAGCTGCCAGGACAGGCAATGATATATTTCACAACAAACAAGAAGCCTCCCGTTTCTCCGAGATCAAAGCACTGAAGAGGCTACTTCAGCATATTTGCATTCAGGTTGTTGTGTAGAAGGATATCTGAAGAACGCACACCAAAGACTGGGCTCACCATAGAGTTCTAGTAAAGCTTGACATTCATAGCTTCCAGGTGTGACATTCAGAGTAAGTTGAGTATCAAAGAACCAAAACTTCAAATGTTTGCAAGAAATAGCGTGGTTGCAGTAACTTAAATATTTCCATTGCAAGTGGCAACCTATTAGTATTTTCCATCTGTAGCCTTTATTATTATTATTTTTTGCATAGAAAGTTTTTTTATTTTCCATTTTCATAGCATATAATCACATGTATACTATTACATAGTCAATATCATGTTGTATTATTAAGTAATTACATCAATTCATCTTACCATCAACTACCAAAGGGAAAAAAACCCCAGTTATAGGCTCTTCTGCTCTCCATATACCATATTTATACCTTATCCGACACTTTCTTCCCCCTCTCTCCTCCCCCTTTCTACATCCTTTCTTCCCTCCATCATTTTCTACTCTACTTCCCCTTCCTTTCTCCTTCTCCTCTCTCCCCTTACCACTCCTCCTTATACACCTCATCTTCCCCCTTCACCCTCTCTCCTATCACTCTCTTCCTATCTTTCTTCTCTCCTCTGCTTCCCACTCTTCTACATCCTGTCTTCCCTCCATCATTTTCTACTCTACTTCCCCTTCCTTTCTCCTTCTCCTCTCTCCCCTTACCACTCCTCCTTATACTCCTCATCTTCCCCCCTCACCCTCTCTCCTGTCCCTCTCTTCCTATCTTTCTTCTCTCCTCTGCTTCCCACTTTTCCTCTAATTCACTTGGTGTATTTCAGCTTCTGAGCAAACTCCATTCTATGTTGATGGTATTTATGCTTCCATATCAATATACATAAAAAACATACATCTGTAGCCTTTAGAAGCCAGACTGTAACCTCACAATTTGATGTGTCTAGGAAGCAAAAGACTAGGCCATTAATTTTCTGCAGTGACTCTGAGTGGGAAGGGGGCCTTCATCTTGAAATGGCTGTCTTTGGCTAATGCCGAGAGGGAATCACAATGGCCAAACTGTGTCAAGGAAAAAATCGCTGGGTCAGAGTGGAGAAGTGTGTAAATTTAACTTTAGAATCAAAGGGCTGGAAAGGATATTGGAGGTCTTCTACTCCAGCCCCCTGCCCAATGCAGGAATCCACAGAGATGGGTCTACCTTTTCATGCTGCTCGCCGTTCTCATTGCTTTGCAAACTGTTAAATACAACCCAGCATTTTAAATATTTGAGTGTTTGAATCTGCCAACGTGGTTGTATTTGCATAACTGCTTCAGCTTAATCCGTACTGAGCATGTTGTAATTTTAATTCTTATCAAAGAGGGAGAGAAAGAGAAAGAAATGGAGCATATAATTGCCTTTAAAGGGACTTGAATTGTTCTCTATCTCATTCGTTACTTCAAATGTGAATTTTGCTCATCCTTCCTAGGAGATCAGACTTGGAACTTTGCATACAAAACACACCCTCCACCACTCCAGTTATATAATATTCGCACGAGAAGCCTTGTCCTTTTAATTTTCATGATCCCTTTGGACACAAGACTTATCTTTGACTTGGTTACCATTCTAAATCCTGAAATTGCAACCCCACCTTTGGAGGCCTTCTCAACACCTTATTCTTCTTTATTTGATTCTACTCGGCTATCTCACATTGGATGCATACCTATTTCATTGAACGATGCACCTTTAAAAAGAAAAAATCCTAGAAGCTACCAGATACCTTAGAGCTACCAGAACATTATTTATTAAAAAAAAAGGGGGGAGAAGCAATCGTTTTACACAACCAGATGCTTTTATTCACATGTGACATTTTAGATGGATTGCCTCTGGGTTAGTTGGACTCAACGATAAACCTTAGATTCATCAACGACAGACATACATTTTCACAAAGCGGCAGATACCACTTCATTGTTTTAAATGGAGGCAGCGAGGCATTTACCCCCGTATCCCAGAGGCGGCTTTTGGGACCGCCTAAGGGTTTCATTTGCCTTCTAGCAGATGGAGGCGAGAAGAAATTTAGGCTAAATGTCACATTCAAATATAAACTTTCAGAAACACAGAGCAATGTATCCATTTTGGCATTATTACAAACAACTATTTGAAAGATGAGGACATAGAGCGCCGAGGTGGCACAGTGGTTAGGGTGCAGCACTGCAGGCCACTTCAGCTGACTGCTAGTTCAGCAGTTCAGCGGTTCAAATCTCACCGGCTCAGGGTTGACTCAGCCTTCCATCCTTCCGAGGTGGGTGAAATGAGGACCTGGATTGTTGTTGGGGGCGATATGCTGACTCTGTAAACCGCTTAGAGAGGGCTGAAAGCCCTATGAAGCGGTATATAAGTCCAACTGCTATTGCTATTGCTCTCATCCAGCGTTGGAAGGAATCGCACAGTCAAAGGTCCTGAGCTGGCAGGTTGAATTGGGCTTTTATCCCTTTACAACTCAAAAGTGGACACTATTGGGGGGGGGGAGGTTTCATAGGACACTGCCATTCTATTATTATCCTCCTCACCCCAAAGCCTAGCCAACACCAGTAACCCAAAGCTCTGGAGTTCTTGTTCTTCTCTTCTGATTAAAAATCAAATAGAGTTGAACAGTCTGCGAGGATAGAGCCCGACAGCAGAAGAGGTTGCAGTCATACCCCCAGAGATCCGGACCTCACCCACTCTCATGGCCTTCCGTAAAGCTGTTAAAACCTGGCTTTTCCAGCAGGCCTGGGGCTGTTGACCTCTGGATTGAGGTCCAGCCCCCCTTTGATTGGGTGCATGTTGTGTTTTCTTCTTAATCTTGTTGTATCTTATTGTTTTAATCCTTTTTAACATTTTTCATTTCTGTAAGCCGCCCGGAGTCCTCCGGGATTGGGTGGCATATAAATTCAATAAATGAAATGAAATGAAATATCAAACACAACCCCTGTTGTGGCCAGAGCTATAAACATGGCCTCTGGTTCATTTCTTCAACCAGCGCAAGGCCCACAGCAGAGGTGGGTTTCCTACCAGTTCGCACCTATTCGGTAGAACTGGTTAGTCAAATCCACCAAACCGGTTAGAAGAGGTTCCACCAGTGGACCCGGAAAGCAGGCCACACCTACAGAAGAGGTTCCAACAATTTTTTGAAACCCACCACTGCTAAAGGGTTAGGGGTGCAAGGATCTTGTAACTCGACAGCTTTAAGACTTGCATGCTTCAGTGCCAGAGTTCCTGAGCCAACGGGACTGGAGGAGGAATTCTGGGAGTTGAAGTCCACAAGTCTTAAAGCTGTCAGGTTTGAAGACCCCTAGTTTTTTTTCTAAAGGGTTAGGGGTGCAAGGGTCTTGTAACTTGACAGCTTTAAGACTTGCATGCTTCAAATGCCAGAGTTTCTGAATAGCTACTTGGACCGACCTAAGTACTAATTCATAATTTCATACCCGGTCACATGGGCATTAAGCCACTCCCACAAAGGAGGCCACACCCACAGAGTAGGTTCGGACAACTTTTGAAACCCACCACTGGCCCACAGGCAGAATGAGTGAGCTACACTAAGTCTACCGAAGTGGCCAACACACACCACCCATGGCCAGAGTTGCGGCTGGCCTGCTCTCTGGCCCACTCCTCCAGCCTCCAAACCTCTTAGAGTCGCTAACACAGGCTCACAGGTGTGGCAAATGCATGAGGCTCAAAGGCATGGGCCGTCCTCCAGCCGATCCTCTGGCCGGCTCTTCTGACTGCCAGCTCAAGGCTCAAGGCTCCTAATGTGGTTGGCACCTGACCTATATGCATGGCAATACTTCTCTGGCCCATCTTCCATCTGTACCTATAATTAGCAAAATGTCCCCTTTTTAATTCCTCAGAGGAAGCTATTATTTGATATTTTGCTAAGATCAGAAAACCTAATGTCAACACATGCCATTAAGTCTTCTTCACCTCCTTGTAATAGAAATAATGCCTCCCCATAGCTTC